GCACTCTAGCCCAGGGGAAAGAGTGAGACTCTTGTATCAAAAAAAAAAAAAAAAAAAAAAAAAGAGGTGGGTCCCTAAGAAGCAAGGCAGGGGAGTTGAGACTAGAATAATGAATATTTGAGAATAAATTTAGCAAGTTTGCTAAGTGGAGCATCACTTTTTTGGGCAGGTCTAGTTTCAGAACCACGGGATGCATTAGACCTGTCAGATTTGTTGAAAATGCAAATAGTACAATTAAATGTAATACTCATTAAGGGAAAAGAAATACAATTTGAAAGTTTTTATGAAGACATTTACTGCCTAATCTGTGAATTGAAAGCATCTTTTAAAAATTTGCTTCCCTTCATATTCTTAGGTGGTAGTGAATATGTGGGTAGAAAAGTGAGAGCATTTCAAATAATGCTAATGAAGTTGAATGATTGCAATCTACCGTATTGTGAGGAAAAGTTGTTAGCTTTGAAAGATGAGGACAGAATTAAAATATTACCATGACTGGCATTTGATTTGAAAACTGCAGAGATAAGCTTGGCTCCCTATTTATGAAAACCATTCTTACAGCCCAGTGAAATATCTTTTAAAAGGTTCTGTAGTTACCATGGATACTTGTTAGCTTTGATATAGTATCCATATTCAATGATCTGAGGTGAAGAAGCCAAAAAACCCACTAACTAAAGTCAAAAGTAGCTTCATCTCTAAATTTGTACTAGTTTGGAGATGGAAAGGGTAAACAGCCTAAAGGTTAGATTTTGGGTTAATTGTCACTGCTTGAAAAACAAAATATTTAGGATGCGCATTGCCTGAATTTGATCCTAGTGTTTACTTTTTATGTATAACTTTTTATTTTAACTAATAAAGGGAATTTCTTAGGTTTGACACAGGAATTTAGATGGTGAGACCTTTCTGAAAGTTGATGAAACCTAGGCAGTGTATTCAATTTCTGAAAGCCACAGAGACACAGACAATATTGAAGGCATTGGTCCCCATGGTAACATATTCGCATTTGGCCCAGAAGTGGCTGGTTTCTGCTAAGTTTCTTTTAATTGCTATGTATTGACAGTGGTTTTCACAACTATTTATAAAATGTCAGATAAATGAGCATGTGTACAAGGGGGAGTGTACAACGTATCTTTAGGCTTGATTAGATACTTCAGATGACAAAGAGCTCTGCACGAAGAGTTACTGAGGTATTTTTGGCATTTCCTAATGTGTCTGTCACATAGTGGAAGCAAAAAAGCAGAAAGCCTTTCAAATGATTTAAATATTTTCTTCAATTCTTTTTTGAAACAGGTGACAAAAGAGCTAAAACAGTATGACAACAAAATTATAGAATGCAAATTTGAGAACAACAGCTGGGTCTTCATGAGACAGAGAACAGACAAAAGTTTTCCTAATGCCTACAACACTGCCATGGGTGAGTATGACAGCCTACCAGTGCTTTCTGTGTTAAAGAAACAGTGAAGGTGTCAGAACCAAAATGTGCTTTGTTGTTTTGCTTGATGTGTCATAGAGTCATTTGGACCTGATCCTGGTTTGATGGGAAAGAAGTGTCAGGTCTGTACCCTGTTGGGCTGCAGTCAGCTTGTAGGTTCTCCTCTCTAAACTGGTGGGCTTGTGCCCATGCATCCAAAAGAGAAGTTTAAAGGGCAGGATACTGGGCTGTATACAAGTTGAATTTATTGAACAACAACAACAAAAGCCATGATAATTTCAGATCTGTTTAAAACTATAAAAACCATTGTTTGCCAGATGGTAAAAGACAAAATTAGCAGGGGAAAATGTAATTTCCAGCTCCTAAAATAACTTTACAAACAATGGAGAACAAAGTAAATGAAAACCATTTAAAAAAACAAAATCTGCTATGCTATCCTTCCAAGTGTTCTTTGGGTACAATATGAATGCTTTGGGAATTCAGAATAGTAAGTTTCTTTCATGGGGAACAACACAAATTAATTGAAGTTTATAAGGTATACTACTACCAGTAGCAGTTGTTGCTCTGGATTGCATTTTTAGTAGAGGAGAAAAAAGATAAAAACCAAGATTAAAGGTTAATAGAATTGTGTACTTTTAAAGTGTTCAGTCAATGATGATGATGACTATATATGATAAGCTTATAAGAAAATCTAGAAATTGCCAGTTTAGGTTTTGCAGTTTAAAAGTTACTCTTGTGCATTTAGGGGTTTTGTTGGAACTATCTGTGTTCAGTCAAGATTAATTTCAAAAGTAGGAATGATTAAGCCAGTGTCTTTTCTTCCAAAACCATAAGTAAATGCAATTAAAAGGACTGGTACTAAATTTTGGCCACTTAAAAAAGGATAAAGTAATATGGTCTGCCAGCTTCAATGAAACCTCCCTATTCATTAGGAATGGTGGCTGGTGCTGTGATATATGTTTCACAGAGTGGACTTCTTTCTGAGAGATTGAAGAATTATAGGGCACATTTTCTGTAGAAGTTTTAATTGAATATGGACTATAATGCAATGCACTGTGCTAGATTAAAATCCCATAAAGACTATTTTGGAGGGATAGGAAACCATAGTGAAGACATGCTTATAATTCAAATACTTAAAAATTTTGGTTTAAAATTAATACTCCAATAAAGGGTAGCCACTAGGAAAGCACGTATTTTGGATGTGGGCAAGGGAGGAGATTAGTATAAGCTGAAGCATGTCACTCAAATTGGTAAAATGGAAGTGTTTAGCATATTGGGATGAAAACCTTTTCCACAAGCCTGTGGTGAGTCAGCTGCCTTAATTAACCTTCACGTGAGACACATGTCTCCCTTTGTCCACAGCTGTGTGCAATAGCATCTCAAACCCTGTCACCAAGGAGATGCTGTTTGAGTTCATCGACAGATGTGCTGCAGCTTCTCAAGGACAGAAGCGAAAGCATCATCTGGACCCTGACACGGAGCTCATGCCACCACCACCTCCCAAAAGACCGCGCCCTTCAACCTAAGACCTGCCTCTCACTTCAGGGTTAAGAGGAAAGATGAATGAGAAAAAATGCTGTTGCCCAATTTTTGTAGCCAGAGAAATTCAAAAGTGAGTGTGACTTGATGGTGATACACATTTGAAATTTTTTAAGAAAAGAAAGGTATTGTAGCCAGCCTGTAAATACTGATGCGTTTGTTTCCTCAGTGCTGCAATACATCATGGACTTAAACATTTTATTTATATCTGATAAACTCAGCCTTACCTTGTGGAATCTGAAGATTGAAATATCCAAAGGTTTAAACAGGATTGAAATCAATGAAAAAGAGGCCTTGTTTATATATGGGTAACTTTTGCATTTAATTTATAAAGTTAGCGATCTGGAACTGTGAGCACATAAAACACTGTATTTTTTAGAAGTTGTGTTTCAACTATGGCAGTTTTTCCTTTTAAAAAATTTAGGCAATGGCATTAAACATTCTTGCTATCATTTATCATGGATTTCTTACATTTGTGAGATTCCTGTATTCAAAAACAAATGACAAGTGTGTTAGGATTGTACTATATTAAACAACTTGGTCTGGTTTATATCATTTTAAGGAGGGTTTTTTTTTTTTTTTGAAAATGTAAAAGTAAAAAAGTAAATCTCCATTTTTGTGAATTGCATCGTTCCTAAAGGACGTATTTTGAGTATTTTCATCTGTTTCTGTTGTTTAAACTGTGTTATCAGATATTCAATGTGTCCATTCTGGCAGTGGTTTTGAGTTACTTCATGGAACTTGGATATACACCACCAGGTCTTTTATGTGTTGTTTTACTGGGAGACTTTTCTTTTTTTTTTAAATGCCAGGGCTACTTCTGCTTTACCTCAGTGGTATCAGCACATTGTAAATTATATTAAAAGACACAACTCACTGTGATCTATGGGAGTGATATCAAATACAAACGATGTTGTGTTAGTTCCCTGGAACAAAACGGCAAAGGAAATGCCAGCTGACTCCTTTGATTAGAAGGTAATGTCAATGGAATAGAATGCTGTCACTAGAAAATGCTCTCCCACTGCTAGATAAATGCAGAGGCAAAGCGTAGACATTTGTAGGAACTAAACATCAAGAAAATCAAGACATTTATTTTCAAAGCCAGAATTCTATATTCTATTCTGGGGATGTTGTTTCTGTTAGACATCTAAATTTTAAAACGTTTATTGATAGATAATGGATTTGAAGGGCAGCTAATTGGTCATCTGCCATTTCTGAGAAACTGTGTCTGGCTTGTGAAGGAACTGTCAGAATTAGCTGATTAGAGACTAATGTGTTTATTTTTAGGTATTTAAAACAAATTTTCATGATGTGAATTTTATATATGTAGACGCATATATAAGTATATGCAACAGTATATATTCTTCTACAGTCAGACCTGAAAATCCAAATGTGTTACCTGGTAGACTGAATATCTGACAGGATTTCTATATGATACAGCACAGAGTAACCAAAAATGTATTTATATTCACCTGAGTTTTAAATGTTTTTAAACAAAGTTTTCTCCTGCAGTGCTTTTCTATATAAAGTACCAGAGTCATGCTTGGGCTTTTTTCTTTCTTGTTCCCAAGTTATATAATGTATAGTGAATTTATCCAAAATGCCATTTTAATGTTTTTTCCTAAAGTACTTTTGTCGTTTGGGCACTAAAGGGATTACAACACCTGACTGCCACAATGACTGTTGAAAGAGGGAAAATTCTCAAGGTTCCATAGTGTCTTTTACAGAATGGATCTTTAAAAAATGCCTATGCAACTCCAAATAGTCTGATGCCTGTTTGTCCAGGACTAGTGACTCTTCATACGGTATGTTGCTTTCCTCCGAGCCTGGGTAAAGGCAGAGCCCTTTTGCAGATTTAAAAACAAGCTTTGCTAGTGATTTTTAATGGAGTTAAAGTGTTTATGGTAATTGTAACCTTTTAAATGAGTTATGTGAAAAGAGCATCTCATTTTTAATACGCCCAGATATTTTCTCCTTGTCGTTGTGCATTTTAGCAGGACTTAATTTTCTTAATTTTATCCTTTCCTTTCAATTACAGTAAAATATAATAGTTGGCCTTATAAGTAGATCCTGTTTAGCCCCTGAACACACGACCATCTGGAGTATCATAAAAAGTCATTTAGAAGGCTGGGGGAGAAATACAGAGGCAGGATTTTGGATATCAGGAAGGAAACACTTCTCTTTTCAGCTCACTTCACAATAGCTATTTTCTGAGGCTGAAGTTTTTTAGATAAGAATAAGAAAACTTTGCTTTTTTCAGTATCACATGAAAGCTTTTGCTTTTTGTTAAGAAAAGGTGTAGATGACTCTACTTGCCTGGATGGTTACATTTGCTTTCCGTGAAATGCTCAGAAAATGTCAGGACATTCCTTCTTTAATTGCGTGTTAGTGCATATTGTAATAAAACTACTGATTTAAAATAACAGAAGTGTGTCTACTTTGTTTTACTGGTGATGCTTTTGTGTCTCTTCTGTTGCTGGCATCAGCTCCTACTTCTGTCAGCCACACCCAGTATAATCCATTGGTTTCATTACACTCTAGAGATTAAAAACTTGGAAATCCTCTATTTTTCTTCCTGAGAAACTGAGAAATTTGATTGACATGGGGGTGTAGTTTGAGCCTTTTAATTTTCGAAGTGTAGAGAAATAGGGGAAGGCACATCTTTTTAATATTTCTGTTCACTTATCTCAGCAGTCTACTGTGTGAGTAGATATTCTGCTATGTTATTTTTAATGTATTTAATTTTTTAAGAATACTCAGCAATAAATATTCTGAAATGATGAAGTAATGAACTACCAAATTTCTTTGTTGACTCAGCATTTCTGTAGTATGGAATTTGCCATCTTTAAATGTTTACATTTTGAACTCTACAGTTCTTTCTGACCAAAAAAACCTTGAAAGTCAAGAACCGAATATTCCCAAGTTAGGAGAACTCGTGGTAGAGAACACTCCCGGCTAGACCAGAGGCAAGTCCAGCCTTAGCCTCCTATTGGCTCTATGTTCTCTCCCTTCCCCACTTTACCTGTCTATAAAAAGCCAAAATTGGACAAGATGATCGAAAAGAACCTTTCGAGTTCTAACCATGCGTCTTGTGTAGAAGCCAGTACTTTGTAAATCTCTTGTATTCACAATAATAACAGTATTAGCATTATTGAATATTCACCAAGCATCAAGACTGCCTGAAACACAAGTGCTCTATCCTCGTGGGTACTGTTACTAACCTCACTTTTTAGATAAGGAATGTGAGACTGAGTTGTGAGCTGAGACCCAAACGTAGGTCTTTCTACTCCAGCACCTAAATTTTTACACAACACTCTCCTGCAGGCTTCGATACATCCCCTACATGAAGGACTGCTTCCATGCCAGGGGTCCCAAACTATTTAAGTCATTTCTTTGGTACTAACAGGGCAACAGACTTCAAGCACCTTTCTCTAATATAAGGAGGTGAAGTTGGGATCAAGGAAGTAAATACATTTTAGGACCTATGTAAACTAGTTATTCAACAATATTTAAATGCGAATGACTTGGCAGCCATGAAGGGAAGTTTCCTATCCTCATTAAGATACTAAATTCCAAAGATACAGTGATTACCCACTGGGCCAACATTTTACTGATAATTGTACAGTTAGCTGTTAACCCTGACACTTTAGCAGGTCATCCTCAGCCTTGGTTAATGCAGAGTGCCCCTCCCCTCACCTGACTGAGAGCGGTGACCACTGTGCATGATAAGCTAGTGCTAGAGGGCGCTCAAAGCAGGGGCCACCCAGTCTTCTAGCTTTCACATTTCAAAAAACCAGTGTATGGAACTGGGGTTGCCAACTCTTTTGCCATGTAAGGGCATTAAAAAACAATTGTTGGTATTGTTTAATAAAATTAAGGAACTCTTAACACCCAAACAGGAAGTGGGATATATTTTGGAAAAATTGACCTTTATGTAGAATAAATTTTGATTTATGAAAGATTCACTACATTGTCCTTTGCTTCTGTATTCCATCCCAAACTGGTGAAAACATTTTCAGGGACTGGTGTTGGGATCATTGCATAGATGAGATTCCATTCAGGGGCTTGTCGGTAGGGAGGGGAGCATGGAAACCCTCAAAAAAGCAGCAGCTCTTGGTTTCATAACTAAAGGTCATTTTCATAACCACAGTTGACCATAGTAAATTACTTCACAATGGTTGATTAAAGGGGTTGATTATTATGCCCTTATGATATAAGGTGTATAGGTGAAAAATGCAATTATCCAAATGTTTAAAAATACCCAAATAGAATGAAACCCTCAGGTGTTTGAGGTGCAGAAATAGCATAGCCAAATACAACAGAGAAAATCAGAATGTGGCTTTGACAACAAATCAGACCAGCAGAAAGTCACTAATTTCCACAACTTTGAACTTGGTATACAGTCTATTTTTTCTTTAAATCACTGCCACCAGAGTGATCTTTTAAAACTTCGAACCTGCTCCTGTTACTCCCCCCACCCCCTGCCCCACCCATGAAGAGCTCCTTTGCATTCTGGCCTTAGCCTGTCCGTCCAGGTTGGATCTTGCACCTGCTCTGTAAGACAGTGGTGTGACTCCTTGTTTTTCCCGGAATGCCGTCCTCTCTAAGCCCAGGAACCTTTGCACATGGTGCTGCTGCTGCTTCTGCCAGAAAGCCCCAACCTCCCTTAATCTCAGGATCAAGGAAGCCATCCTCCCATAGACAGCCTCCTAAATCTCACACTGTAGTACAACAGTCTTCCTTGGTCTCTCTTCAAGACGAGGGGCTCTAGATGTGGCAGAGGGACTATGTCATCTCTGTGACCCATATCACAGAGCTTGACAGTAGTGGGCGCTCAATAGTAATTAGGGCAAGAGGTTCAAGTGCCCTTTTGTGTTATTGTCCTCCTCAGTCTAGCCACGTATGAACATAGTTTCCTGTCACCCTAGCCATCTCACCATAGCATAATAGGAGCACTGATAATATCTCTTATTTCTTAAGAATTTCTTCAGAGAAGAATTTCTTCTCTGATGCATCTTGTGTGTGATCCTGATTAGAAGTGTCTTGTCTGTTCTTGCCTTTTGCACCGAAAATGAGTGCTTCTGAGGAAACTTCTCAGCAGGAAGGATCTTAAGAAAATGCCCTGGTCTCCTTGCTGTGATACAGTCTGAGGGAGGTGTGAGGGAAGTAGTGTTTTCAATCAAGTCTTATTTTTTAGTGCAGTTTCACTGAACTTGCCATTTCTTAAACTGAAGGCGCCTTCTCCCTACCTACCTGTTCTCACCCAATTTCTAATGTTCTCAAAGAGAAAACTTTTGGTAACTTCTGAGGCATTTCAGTTAGTTTCAAAAATAAATTCAAGTCCATGATTCCTCAGTATGAATTGTTGCTTCTAGCCTTGTCTTTTCAAGTGGGAAAGGCAAGTGAAAGATATTATTCTTGTTGCTCCCACTGAATGCTATCTTCCAGGATCTAAAGGAATAAGAAACTTTACAGTTTCTGTAGAAGTTCTGCTTCCCTTCTGAAAGCTGTCAGGGGAATACTGTATAGTTTTGATGTATAGTATAAACACAATGTACTTTGATACACATTGAAGATGAGGACCACAGAGACCCCAACTGAACAACACCACAACCAAAGCTCTCCTCTAAAAAAATTCTTGAAAATGTTGCATGTAGATAGAAACTGAACACCTGGAGACATCACGTGCGGTTGGGGTGGCGCACGAGGTGGGAGGTGTTTGTTACTCTTGAGGGATGGGTGAGGTGAATGGGGCAGGGTGCGGCGGAGGGGTTTGTCCAGGGTCATGTGAAGGAGAATGGTGGGAAATAGAGCTGTAATCACTGCATCTTAAAACTAACCAACCAACCCACCTCCCTTGGCCCCTTGATCTCCCTCTAGCTGCTAACCCATTTCTCCATTCCTGTTTCCTGCAAAATTCCTTGAAGGAGTTCATTGTACTCGTTCAGCCCCCATCCTTCCCTACTAGTCTCTCTCGAACCCACTGCCACAGGCATTTCCATGGAGACTGTTCTTATCACTAACCACCAGTGCCCTCAACGGGGGCAAATCCACGCTCCTCATCAACCTAGCAGCAGTATTTGACACAGTTTCTCACTTCATTTTTTTTTTACTCTTTATAATGGGAAATTTCAAACATATACAAAAGTAAAGAATACAGTAAAATCAACTCCCTTTTACACAGACTCAGCAGTGATCAATCTGTGACAGTTTCTGTTTGTTTACACACTGACCAGTCCACGCACATACACACGTGATAGTTTTCAAACAAGTCATAGACTACTCCCTGCTTGGTGAGACCTTTTTGCATTTGGCTTCAGGGCCACTACAGTCTCTTGGTTTACTTTCCTTCTACCTACAGGGTGTTCCGTTTCAGTCTCCCTTGCTGAGCCCTCTTTACCTTCCCAACTTCTACTAAGTGACCCAGGCTCAGTCCACTGTCCTCTCTCTCCACTCTAAGTGACCTCTCCTGATCTCCGAACACAAATACCTTCTAGACATGAACACTTTCCAAATTCATTCCTAGCCCAGATCTGTCCTTGAATTCTAGACTCAAATATCCAACTGACAACTTGACATCTTCACTTGGATGTCTAATAGTCACCTCAAACTTAACACACCAAAAACTGAACTTCCCTCCTCCGATAGACTTCCATCCCACAGTCTTCCTATAAAGCTTAGTTAATGGCAGTTGCATTTTTTCAGTTGCTTCTGAGTCATCCTTGACTCTTTTCCTCCTCTCATACTTCACATTCAATGCATCAGCAAATGTTGTTGGCATCACCTTCAAAACATAACCAGAATTTGACAGTTGCTCAACTTTTCCAGCAACTCTCATCGCCTTGCCTAGACTGTTGCAATAGCCTCCTAACTGGTACCCTAGTTTCTACTCTCATCTCCCCAGCTCCCATCTATTCTCCCAACAAAGCTGTCAGTATAATATTTTTAAAAACATGTCATTCTGCTACTCAGAACCTTCCAACGCCTTTCACCTCATTCAAAATACAATCCTGAGTGCAGACCACAGTCTACATGGCCCTACATGACCTGGGCCCGGCTGCCTCTCTGCCCTCATCTCCTGTCCTCCTCCTCGTTCACTCTGCTCATCCACACTGGCTCCTTTGCTGTTTCTCCAGCTTGCCAAGCAAGTTCCCACTTTAAGGACTTAAGGTCTTCCATCTTATCAAAAATGCCACTCCCGTCACCATCTACCCTCTTACCCTGCTTTATTTTCCTGTAAGCACTTACGATCTGACACATGCACTTGTTTGCCTCGTATCTGACTCTCCTCTCTAGAATGTAAGTTCCATGTGAACTGAGAATTTGATTTCATTCATGGCTGTATTCCCAGCACCTGGGCCAGTCGGGCACAAAGTATGGGGTTAAACAAATATTTCTAAAATCTATGAATGAAGTAGGACTACACAAATAGACTGGGGACAGATTATGAAGGCCATTGAATGTCTGGCTAAGAAGTTAGGCTAAATTTGATCACTAAAAAGGAGCTATTGAAAACTTTTAAAGGAGTTTGCCTTGTAAGAATAATCTGGTAATAATCTGTCTAAGGTGGCAGAAGGAAGAAAAATAAGGTGATAGGCTAGTCGGGAGGCTATTGTATTAATAATCCAGATGAGAGGGGAAAAAACCTAGAACAGGGTGGCGTCTCGAGCAGAAGAGATGAATGTGGCAGGCATTCAGGAGGGAGAATTATCAAGATTCAACAGTCATTTGAGAAGCCAAGGCTGCCCTCGGGTTTGAGCCTTGGTGGGGTAATGGTAGT